GTGCCGAAATGGTGGGGCGAAGTGCATGCGAATCTTCCCACTTGGGCCTTTGGTGGAGCTCCCTTTATTGCCACGAGCCGTGTGAGGGGTGTGTCGAAATGGGGGGTGGAATTGCATGCGAACTTTCCCACTGGGGCCTTCGGTGCAGCTCCCTATGGGGCCACGAACCGTGTGAAGGGTGCGCCGACATGCGGGGTGAAGCTGCGTGCGAACTTTCACACTGGGGCCTGCGGTGGGGCTCCCTATGGGGCCGCGAACCGTGCGACAGGTGTGCCGAAATGGGAGGGTGAATTGCACACGAATTTTCCCACAGGGGCCTGCGGTGGAGCTCCCTCTTGGGCCACGAACCGTCTGAGGCGTGCGCCGAAATGGGGGTTGGAGCTGCATGCGATTTTTCCCATTGGGTCCTTCGGTGGAGCTCCCTATGGGTCCACGAACCGTGTGAGGGGTGCGCCGAAATTGTGTGGAACTGCATGCGAACTTTCCCACTGGGGCCTTCGGTGGGATTCCCTATGCGGCCACGAACCGTCTGAGGGGTGTGCCAAAAGGGGGGGTGGAACTGCATGCGAACTTTCCCACTGGGGCCATCGGTGGAGCTCCCTCTTGGGTCACGAACCGTGTGAGGGGTGTGCCGAAATGGGAGGTGGAATTGCGTGCGAATTTTCCCACTGGGGCCTTTGGTGGAGCTCCCTTTAGAGCCACGAACCGTGTGAGGGGTGTGCCGAAATGGTGGGGCGAACTGCATGCGAACTTTCCCACGGGGGCCTTTGGTTGGGTACCCATGGGACCACGCAACGTGTGAGGGGTGCGCCGAAATGTAGCTGGAAATGCACGCACCCATATGACGACGATGACGACATGCGGAGTGCAGAGGCAAGGGATGGGAGGAGGGGGAGGAGGAGGAGATGAGGTGGACGCGGGGCGCTGCCTCTTCAAAACGAGGACCCAACACCACAGGATAGTTGGGAAAAGGACTCTGCAGGACCACCTGCATTGCCACCAAAGTCTCAAGAGGTAATGCCGCCATTCTTGATGATCCTCCAAGATTGCCCCAAGAGGGCTCACAAGTTCTCAAAGACATCCTCGAGATGGCCCCGAAGGCTCCCGAAATGGCCCCAAGGTGGTCCCAAGACGCCACCGGCAGTCCACAGGGAACCCGAAGTAATTTTGACTCAAGCCATTTGAGCTCAGTTCCCTGGGGACGGTCCCCCCTGCCACAGACGACGGATGGCGGAGGCTCCGGAAGTCGCGACCATCGCCGCGGACGCCGCGGTCGTGAGCCCAGATGCGAAAAAAGACCCCTTGTCGACGAAGAGCGGGAAGAGCTCGCAGAGCGGCGGCCGAGCGAGCCCCGCCTTGCCGCGGCCCCTCTCCGAGCCGGGAGAGCCCCACCCGGCCTCGCCGGGCATGTGCGAGGTCGAACGCCTGCGGCGCGACAACGACAGGCTCTACAGGATGAACGACCAGCTCACGGCCCAGCTGCGGGAGGCGCGCGCGCAGAGAGGGTCGAGTCTATGGCAAATCATTGGATCCTGGTATACCTTCGTAGTTCTGGTTTTAGAGTGCGCTCGCGTCGACCAGCGTCTGGTAATCGATGGGACGTCGCCGATTTGGCGCCGACTAGCGTCGGTTAGCGTTGATCAGCGTCGATTTAGCGTCGATGGAGCATCGACTATAGTCGATGCGAATTTTCGCTACAGCGTCGATTCGCAAGAGCCTGAAAGATGGTGTGGCAGACTCCTGATGAGTTATCACCGAAGGTCCCTAGCGAGCCCGTCGGAGCACGAGGTCAACTGCGATGACGAGTACAGCGACGGCGACGGCCCGCCGTCGCCGCTGCCTTCCGCCGATCCCCAGGTAAGATTCGGGCCAGCCTCGTCGTCGAGGTCGAATCGCATGCCCGCGCTCGGCATGAAGCAGAGCGTCGACACCGCGGGCACGTTCGGGTCCATGGCTTCCAAGTCCAGCCTGAAGCCTGGGGTCGCCCCTTTATCGGACGAGGAGCTGCAGCAGCTCGAGGGGTCCGACCTCCAGTTCCTCGTGAGCCACAGGATCAGCCGCGTTGTCATGAGCGGAAGCGCCCTGACCAAGACGAGGCCAGTGCAGGCTGCCATCTACCTCGCGGCGTTGGCGGGCGTGCTCTTCACACTCATGGCCAAGTCCACGCACCTCGGGGAGAGCGACTCCGAGAGCGACCTTCGTCGCCGCCTTGGCGGCGATGCCCCGCCGCTGATGACGTACATAGCCTACGCCCTACTCTGCGCGGGGATGCTCGCAATGGCCATCAATTTCATCAAGCAGCCGCTCATCCTGGGCTACTTGCTTGGAGGCGTGGCGGTCGGCCCCCACGCTCTCAACATCATACACGACCACGAGGACATCTCTACCTTGAGTTCACTGGGCCTCATCTTTCTACTGTTCATGGTGGGCCTGGAACTGAACGTGCAAGAGCTGCTCAAGATGGGCAAGGTGGTGCTGCTCACGGGTGCCCTCCAGTTCCCAATCTGCGCCGGTCTCCACATCTGCATCTTCATGGGCCTCGGGGCCGCTGGGATCTCGTTCGGGGAGGGCGACATGGCGACGACGTACGCCGGGATTGTGTGCGGCATCTCGTCCACGATGATCGTGGTGAAGGGATTGTCCGTCAAGTGCGATACAGACAGCGCTCCCGGCAGGCTGACCATCGGCATATTGATCTTCCAGGCTCAAAGGGTGCTCAATCGAAAAAGGAAAAACGCCATAAACATAAATGGTTGGCGCTCCGCGCGGACTTCTTGGATCTGCGCTGGACCCCTCCCTGGCGCGCGGAGCAAAGTTTATGTTTCTGGCGTGTTCTCTTCTTCTGCTCACGGGGAGGTCCCCTGGATGCTTCCAGAAGGTTTCCTCGGTGCCTCCCGGAGGCCTCCATAGGAGGCATCCATATAGGAGGCCTCTGGGAGGTCCTGCGGGGTGGAGGCGCTTCTCCTCCTGCACCTCCGGGAGTCTTCATGCGTTCACCGGACCTTGGAGGCCCTCCGCCGTCAATCGGATTTCGGCCGCGCGCAGAGGGGGGGTCAGGGGGACCGTCGGAACTGAGAGCAAGATAACATGTGCCGATACCGCTGCAACCCAGACCTCCCCCTGGTGCGCTCCGACTCGAGCGTCGAAGCGAATCCAGCGGGGCGACGAGGGCCTCCCGGGAGGCCCCCACACAGAGGAAAGCGTTGCAGAGGTGGCGGTATGGGCACCCAGGAGGGGGGAAGGTTTCTTCGAAGCACCCTTGCTTCTCAGCAGGCGCGGGACTTCTCGATGCATGTGCGGCTGGCGCCTTCCAAGAAGCAGCCCCCTTCCAAGAAGCTTGCCCCCGTCCCCCATACCCCCGTGTGCGCGCAGCCCAGGACTTCCGGGGGGGTGGAGGGGAGACCTCCGCGGAGACCCTCGGGAGGTGGGAAGACCCCCCCCCCGAGCATGGTGGAACCCCCCAGGCAGCCCCCCACGCTCGCGGTCTGGGTGCCCTCCCGCCTTGCGCGGGAGGGTGCCAGTCGTGGGGTGGGGAACACCTTGGGGGGGGCCTCTCCCCTCTCTCCCCGGGGCTTCCTGCCAGACTTCAAGGAGGTGGAGGGGAGGTCGCCTGGGAGACCTCTTGAAGGTCCCGGGGAGGTCTCCCAGATCCTAGGAGACCTCCAGGAGGTCCAGAGGTGAGCACCCTTACCTTTCTAGGACATCTGGGCCATTGTCATCCTTGCCATACAACCTAGCTTGGACACGCCCGACATCGTTATCATCTTGAAGACCTTCGGCATGATCGCAGTCCTGCTCGCCGTGGCGATGCTCTACGCGAAGATTGTGATGCCCGCAGTCCTGTACTCTTCCTCCAGGAACGTCGAGCTCATGCTTGTTCTTTCCCTTGCCTGGTGCTTCTTCGTGGGATGCGTGGCCACCCTCCCGTTCGTCGGCCTCAGCTTCGAGCTGGCGTCCCTAATCGCCGGGGTGGCCCTGGCTGCATTCCCATACAGCGCTGAGTTCAACGGCAAGATCAAATACATCAGAGATTTCTTCATCACCCTCTTCTTCGTCGGCCTTGGCATGCAGATCCCGCCTCCCACGTTCGTCGCTGTTGGCACTGGCGTCTTGATTGCCGCGGTGGTGCTGGTCTGCCGGTGGATCGGCATCTACTCCGTGGTTCGCCTTCTGGGGGGCCGCGGGAACCTCGCGGGGGTCGCCACGATCAACCTCTCGCAGATAAGCGAGTTCGCCCTCGTGATCTGCAGCCTCGGGATGCAGTTCGGGCACATCCAGGACGACACGCTGACGATCATCATCTGGACGTTCGCCGTCCTTGCCGTGGCGTCGTCCTACTTCATCGACAACAACAGGGCGATCTGGAGCCGAATCTCCGGCTGCGCGTCCCGCCTGCGGCACCGCCAGGGCGTTGGCGCCGCGACCCCTGACGATCACGAAGACCACCACGAGCACGACATCCTCCTCCTGGGCTTCCACAAGGTTGCCGCTGGGCTGCTGGCGGCGATGCTCGCCAGCGACCCCCAGCTGATCAGAAGGGTTCACGTGGTCGACTGCGACGAGGAGCTCCTGGCGTCGCTGAAGGCGCGGGGTATCAAGGCCTCATACGGCGACATTTCCTCGGCAGACGTCTTAGAGCACGTCCACCACGGGGAGGCCAGACTCGTCATCTCCACGATATCGGATTCCCTGCTGCAGGACGTCACCAACATGAAAATTCTGAAGATAGGGCAGCAGCTCTGGCCAGAAGCCCGGTGCATCATGACAGCGGAGACGACAAGGCAGGCGGACTCCCTATACAAACACGGCGCCGCGTACGTGCTCCGGGTGGAGAAGTTGTGCGCTGAGCACCTTGAGCACCTGATCAAGGAGCACTGTTCCACTGCCGCGTCGTCGGAGCTCGACGAAGCCTTCGAGTCGTTCAGGCTTAAGGACGTCGCGTCAAGAAGGGGCTCCCTCTTCTAACCAGCCAGAATCCCGGCCCTCCTGCGAGCAGGAGGATGATTATAAAACGCCTGTCGTCTGGCGCCGCCCCAGCTCCGATCCAAGGAATCCGCGCCAGTCCGCCCAAGAAGACTCCAACAGCGCCGAGAGCCGAGAGAACCCCAGGATTGCTTCCAGACCGCCAAAGATCGCTTCCAGAAGGGCCAAGAGGCCCTCAAGCCGCCCCAAGAGACCGCCAAGAGGCCCCCCAAGAGCGCCACGGGAGACCAAAATGGCCCTATTCCCTTCGTAAGCCGTACATGTTTCCCTACCTAGGCTCTGCCTAGAAGGGTTCTTACTCTATGTGCTTAGAAGGGCTGGGCAGTGGGGCTCGCCCCGGGCGGTTCCCCCGGCGTCCGCCCCGCGGTTCCCCCAGTTACGTTCCCTTAGCTCAGCGTCGCTTATCTCATCTTATCTTAGCTTATTTCAATGTAGCTTAGCTTAGCTCCATCTCAGCTCAGGTGTATCTGAGCTTAGCTTACCTTCATCTTAGCGTCGCTGAGCTTTAGCACAGCAGAGCACAGCATAGCATAGCATAGCGTGTCATAGAATAGCGCAGCACAGCATATCATAGCATAGCCCAGCATAGCATAGCATAGCGCAACATAGCATAGCATAGTATAGCACAGCGCAGTACAGCACAGCACAGCATAGCATAGCGCAGCATAGCATAGCATAGTATAGCAGAGCATAGCATAGCACAGCGCAGCACAGCACAGCGCAGCATACTGTCCTACCTAGGCTCTGCCTGGAGGGTTAGCTTAGCTTAGCTTAGCATAGCGCAGCGCTGCATCAACATAGCATAACATTGCATAGTACAGCCAATCATAACATAGCATAGCCCAGCGCAGCATAGCATAGCATAGCATAGCATAGCATAGCATATTATAGCATATCATAGCATAGCACAGTTTAGCATAACATAGCATACCATATCATATCTTAGCATAGCACAGCGCAGCATGACATATCATAGCTTATAATAACATCGCATAGCATATCATGGCATATCATGGCATAGCGCAACATAACGTAGCATAGCATAGCATATCATACCATAGCATAGCATAGCGCAGCATAGCATGACATATCATAACGTAGCATAGCATAGCATAGCAACTAATGCTGCTTTCCTATGGGCTCCAGCTTCTAGGTAGGGTCGCACTGGGGTAATTAGGATATCAGCTCCCTTGGACATCGGAGCGGTCAAAAAGCTCCAAGAGGCGCCCAAGGACGCCCCAGGACGGCTGAGACAGCCCCAAGACGGCCCAGGAGGTCCTCCCGGGACGCTCCTCCGGCGGCCCCCGGGCCTCCCAGTCCGCCCAAGATGGCCCCAGAGACTTCCTGGTCGCCCCGAGAGGGCCCCAGGAGGCTCCGAGTATACGGCCCGAGATGGCTTCCAGAAGGGCCACGAGGCCCTCAAGACGCCTCAAGAAGGCTCCAAGAGGCCCTCCAAAAGAGCCCGGGGAGACAAAACTGGCCCCATTCCTTTTGTAAAACGTGCATTTTTAGAATAGCCCCCAAAAAGCCCGAAGACTTCGAAGAGGCGCCCAAGAACGCCCCAAGACGGTCTAGGACAGCCCCATATACACATCATGCAAATTAATAGGCCCCCCCCAGCCTGGGCCAGCCCACCCCGCAACCATCGGGGGAAGCCCGCTGATACCCCCCTCGGTTCGCTCCCCAAAGGCGGCCCGGAGAGGGTAAGAGGGTGCCAAACGAGCTAAGAGGGTTCCAAGAGGCCCCCAAGACGGCGCAAGAAGGTCCCGAGCTGCTCAATACGGCCCAGGAGTACTTCCAGAGCGCTCCCCAGAGAGTCCCAAGAGGCCCAAATCATTGAATTCCTGTGGGGGGAACGTACATTTTTAGCATGTCCGATTTTTCAGCGTTCGCGGCTTTCACGACGGTCCAAGAGGCTCTACATATTATTCAAGACAGCCCAAGACGTTCCCAAAAGGCCCCCGAGCCAGCCCAAGAGGGCGCCAAGACGGCCCAAGGTCTGCCTGAGACGAACAAGTTGGCCCCAAGACAGCCCCAAGAAGCCACAATCGTGGAATTCATAATGGAAAGCGTTCATGTTTTTCATATGCGATTTGTCGGCCTTCACGGCTTTGAAGACGGCCGAAGAGGTTCCCCAGACTTGACCAAGAGAGACTAAGACATTCCCAAGAGGCCTCCAAGACAGCCCACGAGAGGGCCAAGACAGCCCAAGGGCTGCCCATACGTTGTGTAACGAGTTTGCTTTGCACAGTTCCGTTTCATTCCGCTCTTTAGTCTTTCTGGCTCAACGGATTTGGCCCTGCGGGGGGCTGCAGGTCATTGCTCCTTGGGCCCCACTCCGTTTTGTCGCTCGCTGCCCAGACTGCCATTGTGTTGCCGAATGAAAAATGAGCAGCGACATCGTGGAATAGCTTGGACGACAACTGGAGCGGTGCGGACCAGACTCACTGACGTGTCCAGCGTGTTCCGCCTGCCCGCAGTTGCTGTGCCCTGCGATAGGCTTCGCGCCGAGTGCGTTATTTGGAGGCGTGGCGTTCGGCGTGAGCTGCACGGTGCTCGCAGGATTGGCTGCACGGCGCGCTGCTCGCTCGTCGGCCCTCAAGATCGATGGCAGCGCTCGGCCCGGCAAAACGTACGCCGCGCTGGCTGCAGAGTCGCCAAGTGGTGTCGAGGGTCCGCGCCTACCACGACCAGCACGATGACGATCGGCATGAGCGGATCATGCTGGCCCACATCAGCGATCATAGGTTCGTGGGGTTCACCGCGCACTGGGGCATGTTTGATGGCGACAGGGCGCTGGCACTGCGGCTGCTGCCGATGGGCCCTCTTGGCGGGATGCCAGTCCCCGCGCCGGGGGGGCCAGGTGCTGCAGGCGAGCAACGCTTGTCTTTCGGGAGAGCTGCAGCAGCGGCGCGACGAGGCCACGCAGATGGTGGCGGAGATCCGCGCTGAGGAGGGCCTCCCAGACCCGCCGGTGGAGCGGAGGCCCTCGGCCGACACGGCTGCCCCGGCGGGGGCGATGGTGCCTGGCGGCGCGGGCGGCGCAGTGGCAGCGGCAGCCTCCGCTGGCCCCTCCGCATCGGCAGCAGGAGCGCTGGCGGCGACGTGCCAGGCGCCCGCTGTGGCCGCTTGGCATGGCGGAGCTGGCGGGCCCTTGCGCGCGGCTGTCCTCGCGCCGCCAGCTGGCCCCCCGGCAACGGCGACTTGGGCGGCGGCGGAGACGCGTGGCGGCCCGGCGCGCGGGACGCCCATCCCGCCCGCGCTGCTCACGGCAGAGGGTCGGCCGCTGGCCACGCTGTGGGATCGCGGCGCGATCGTGCTCGGGAAGGGGGCGTCGGTCGCCGTGGCAGTTGCCCACGTGCCCGAAGCGGAGCCGCCGGTGATTGCCAGCAGCAGCGGGGCCCCCCAGACGTTCCCAGACGAGTACTCAACGGGAGCCTGCCGCACCAGGTGCTTCCATGACGCGGTGGCCAAGAGGTCCACGGCGGCCTTCCCGGATGGGAAGATCAAGAGGTTTAAGTCGGCGGCCTGGTTGCTGGAGAAGATCTCGGAGCCGGGGTACGCGCCGCGGCAGAGGCAATCCAGGTGGAGGTCGGTCCATGGGCTCACGGCTTCGGACGCTGGAGTGGACCGCCAACTTGCCATCTCGGAGGACCTCACGGAGCTCGCGACCAACGACCAGCTCCATGCAGGCGAGCGCGTGGTGGCGGAGATCCTGCGCCGGTGGCATCAGCTCCGGAGGGAGATTTACTCTTCTTCCTTCCGCGAGGCCGAGGCCGGCCAGGACGCTGCCCCGTGGCTCGACGAGAGGACGGTCTTCCTCGGAGGACAGGAGTCGGAGGTGGGGCGCTGGTTTGTCCTGCCCCAGAGGGCTGGGTGACCGAGAAGCTCAATGGGGGAGCGTGCCATCTGTAAGGAGCGCAGGAAGGAACGTGGAGGAGGGCTGCTGGAGAGAGGCGCTGACCCCAGCGCTGCCTCCGGCGACCAGGTGGTGGCTGCCGGGGCCAGGGCGCGCGGCCGCGGCCGCTGGCGCGGGGCCTGGGCCGCCATCTCGCGCCAGGGTGGCCCCCGGCCCTGGCGCGAGTTTGCAGGGGGGGCGAGGTGTGCCTGATGGTGGCGCCGCCTCGCTGGGTTATGGCGATGTCGGTCTTTTTCAAAGAGACGTGCTACCCATGCCACTCGGCTCGGAGGTGCTCTAGTGCTTAAAGGGGTTCTCGGCCCTCGACGGCGAGCTCTCGCTGGGTCGGCGGCGCGAAGCCGCGCGCTGCAGGCGCCGGGTGCGCTGGATGCTGGAGGGCGCCTCGGCGCTCAACGAGCTGGGCGGTGGTGGGCGGGCGGCTGGGCGCAGCTGGCGGCTGAGTCTGGCCCAGCGTTCGGCGCTGCATCATCTGGCCGAGGTTTACGCTGCAGCGCCGCCCAAGACTGACGAGCTCACCAGCCAGGATGCGTTTCAGGCGCTTCTTGGGCTTCGACCTGGCCGCGCTGATGAGCCAGCCATCGGGGCGAGAGCCGGCTACCAGCGCGGGAAGGTCTCGCCTCCCACCGGCGGTGCGGGGCAGGTCGACATCTTGCGGCTTCTGCCCGAGCACCTGCAGTCCGCGCTGGAGTCAGGGCAAGGGTTACTGCGTTCAGAGCAGAATGTCGCTTCTGCCTTGGAGGGGGCTGATGTCACTTGCTACGTCGACAGCAGGCTGGCCCAGAGGGGCCGCGACTACAGACGATTCTTGCTGGAGCTTTTCGAGGCGGGGATCGTCGAAGCTTTGGGACATGAAACGGATCGGAGGGAAGAGGCGGGCATCTTCTTCGTGCCGCGCAAAGATGACAAGCTGAGGCTCATCTTTGATACCAGGAGGGCGAGCTGTCACTTCCGGGCGCCCGAGTACACGCATTTGGCCTCTGGCGACGCCCTGAGCAGCTTGGAGTGCGCGCCTGGCGAGGAGGTGCACTTGGCTGCGGGCGACGTGGAGGTCTGCTTCTACCAGTGCTTGCTGCCGGGCTGGGCCAGGAACTACTTCTGCCTGCCGAGCGTGGCGACCCACCTGTTGCCCGCTCGGCTGCGGGCCGCCCTGGGGCCTGTGGCCGCTGGGCGAGCCAGGGTCGTTTTTTCGGGTGCGAGTGGTTCCCATGGGCTGGAACTGGGCCGTGCACCTGGCGCAGA